TGTCGGAGGCGGGCCCCGGCGGGACCGAGAGGGTCATCTCCCCTCCCCGCCGCCCCTCTCATCGAATCAGCACCGGGAGTTCCATGACTCACAAGGGACCAGCACTTTACCTTCCGCCGGCTGAGCCGGAGCACCTGGGAATGTGTTAACCCCTGTTCCTTGACCCGCTCTCCATTCAGACAAGGGGGAGCTTTCTGTTGCGGGGGGTCAGTGGGTGACGCTGCCCTGAACACCACAACTTGCTCCACCACAGGAGTCACGCTGGGTGCCACCACCCTCTCTCCTTCAACCCCCCAAATGCTGCTTTAAGGAAACTAGAAAATTAAATGCAGAGAAGAGGGCTGGGCAGAGGGGCTCGTCTCCACAGCATGGGGACTTCAAACCTCCGGTACTGAATGGGTTAAACCACTCCCATGGTGTTTGTTCTGCCGGATGCGGTGCTGGAGGAGCCAGCTCCGGTCCCCAGCACAGGGGGCTGCTCAGTGTCCGAGCGCAGGTCCACCCCCGGCAAAACTGGAATTACTGAGACTAGAAATACCCCGAAGCAGGGATGCCTCTGTGTTGGCAGGACGGCGAAGACACTGTCACTGGTGAGGTGCGAGCAGGGGGAAGGTCTCAGCTGCCACCCCATGTGGGGCAGACATTGCCCTAGGACAGATCTCCATTTCATACCATGATCAGCTCCGAGCACATCCAGTGTTGGAAGATGGTCGCGGGAGCAGAACTGGACACAGGGCGATCACTGCAGAGGGACATCAAAGGCAGGGAAAGGGATGAAGAGAGGAGAAACCTCGTCCGTCACATCAGCAGCTCTGTGACCAGCATCTGACAAGTCCATATTGCCATCCTGTTCATCACCCTCTCCCCCTGTTCCACCAACTCAGCTTCTTTCTGGTTTCATCTGCCTAGTTTTAAAGAGAGGAGTGCACTTGCTGGTTAAAGGAGAGGACGGGAAGAGAAAGGAGCCTTTGCTCAAGTGAGCTGAAAGAACAGACTGAAAAATGGGTCCCAGGTTCTGGACACAAAATTAGCTTTATTGCATGATTTTGTATACATGTATATAATCTCTACAGAGGCAGATGGGGCAGGAAACCAGCAAATGAAAACGTGGGTGACTAAAACCTGAAAGACGCCTTAGCTTGCCCTGCTGAGGCTCACTGCAAGAACTACTTCTCAGGGTCAAGCATCTGAGCAGTTGCTTGGAAGGACTCGAGTTATGGCTGAAACCAGATACAGCAAGAGATACGGTTGGGGCAAAGGCTGAACCCTGACGCAGAAGGGTGGGTGCAAACCAATAGCACTGCCCAGATCTTCACGGAGCTCTCTTCTAGGATGCTAGCCAAGGAGCTGCCATCCTACCACTGAGGCTGGCTGAGCAGCAAGAGATGCACCCGGTAACACCGCGGTGCCTCGGAGAGTTTCTACAATGGCAGTGGTTTGCACTTACCCTTTTGAAGGATTTCATTTAGAAACAAGAAATTGGTTTTGTTTCCAGCTGGGAATCCCAGCCTATGGACTGACAAGACTGCTCTGGGATGACCACGAAGCCATTTCTCGGCAGTTAGGAGTCTCTTCTACTGTGAAAGCTAAATATGTCACTTGCATAAGAATTCACACTACTGCTCATAATTAAAGTGGGTTTAGTTCATGTGCAGAGGAACAGCCTAAAACAGTGCAGCCTGTGCAGCCGTTGATGGGGAACTGCCAGCACTGGTCTGACGTACCTGCTCCAGCTGCGAGCGATCCTTCCAGCATCGCCCGCTGCAGAGGGAGGGAGGGAGGTTGGGGCTATAAAGAACAGGGAGCAGCAGGTACCAAGTGAAATCTTTTAAGGAGAACCTCCTCCAAAGTGACCTGCAAGAGAAAGCAGCCCCCTCCCCATCCCGACGGGAACGGGGCCAGGCACTGATCCACTGGGATGCGCAGAATTAAATGCTGAGGAAAGCAAGCGATTGCGGCATTGAAGGGAGGGCGCTACCAAATCCGCTGTCACCTGCTAGGAGCCCAGGGCCACTGCAGCACCCAAAGGCCATCACAGCCCCTCCAAAGGATTGGATGGTCCTATCAGGTTCCACAATTCCATCATCAGGACAGGGGACATCCAAAGTGCCTCTTGGCATGGGCTGACCCCTCTGCAGAGTGGGGAAAGCCTCCAGGGGAGCACCTACACAGTCCTTCTGGAGTCCTTCTGACCTTGCCAATATAGCCTTACATGGAGAGGGGATATCTTTGAGTGCTGTAAAAACACCTGAACCCCAACAAGCCCTCCAGCCTTCCTTGCCACCGCCTCCCGCAAGCCTTGCCTCACTCACATCCCCACATGGCCACGGCTGCTTCAGGCACGGG